TTTTTTGAATTTTTGAATTGTTGTGTGTCCGTCCGTTTGGATGTTTGACAGGCATGACTTTTCTCTGCTATGGCGCAGGGAACAGTAGTGAGGCAAGAACTCCGCCCAGCCGAAATGACTAGCCACAGTGCACCCCATTGTGTCATGCCGCCTGCACTCACTGCTGCTCCCGATGTATGCGTACCATAACAGATGGCGCCCAACGGGGTAGCTTGAGGTCTGGTCAGGTTGACTGGTCCTGACTGGCACATTAGGCTTCACCATCCCTCAAGTCCCAGGGGGCATGTGATTGCTGCCCCTTGCTGCGTTGCGGCGGGATGAGTGGAGCTGAGTGCACTGGTTCGGATCAGTCCTCTTGGTCTGCAACCGAAGGCTTCTCCGAGACTTTACGTCACGTCCTCCAGAGTTTTGTATTCACCCGGTGAGGCGGTGCTAAACGCACTTAGTTTTGTTTGTAGTTTGACTTTTTTTCTCCAAATTGTTCAGTGGTCCGATATGTCGGCACGGCGCCTACGTATCGCGATGGAGTGGGCTGGGAATCCAACCAGTGCTGACTATCGGGGTCTCAGTCACCCCCCATGTCTCAGGGGGGCATGGTTAACTGCCCCTTGCTGCATTGCGGTGGGGTGCACTGAAACCGAAAGATAGCTCAGCAGAACTGTACGCGAAGGCCAGTACACCCTTCAAGTGTGGAGGGGCATTCCATTGTGCCGGCTTTGCATTGCGGTTGGGTGTGCTGGACCAAATAGCGATTTTTTTTCTTGTTTGTGTTGTACAATATACTTTTCGTAGACTTGTGCCTTCTTAATGTTAGGGGAGGTCAGCATTCCCATTGACCTTTGAAAATACATATTTCCCATACTTAAAAATTATACCCAACTGAATTTATAAATACACTTATATTTAATTAACCACCATATATGCCTATTTACTAACTGCATACGTATATTTTGATTGATTTTTTTTACCTTTTGCGTATATTCATATTCAGTACGCGGACTGAATACATTTTTATAATTCGGATTTTTTTTTGTCACGATCGGGTTCGGTAACCGCGGCACTTGGCTTAAACTCGTTTTTTAATTTTATATATATATTTTTTTTCCGGACGTTCTTTCGGCTTAAGCTAAGAAAGCAAGCCTAATTTAACTAAACAAATTTTCTCGGATTTTCGAATTTTGGTTTGAGCTCTGGGAGAGCCAAATCTTCAGCACCTATTCTAGACTTTGAATTTGAATTGAACTTGTCTTGACCTGGAGCGTCACATTTCTTGATTTTCCAATTGCAGTTGATTTGCTGTATGGAAGAGCAGCAAAGGCTTACGCGCAGTAGCTCGGTGAGAGGTAGCGGCGTTAAGTCAAGAGGGGCCGGGAGAAATAACACTCCTGCTATGCCAGCAACTAATCCTCTGGTGATGCATTCACCTATTGCTGACCATACTGCCTCCAATTCCGATGCCAATCCCGCTCCGGGACTTAAAGTTGATAGCCGTCAAAGTTCAAATTTACTTGACACCTCACCACCTGGGACTTCGGTCCAGAACGTTTCCGCTACCTCCATGACTATGCTTTCGGGAAGACAGGAAAATGATAGGTCTTTGCCATGGAATACCGGCTTTAGTGAAGGTATTGCAGAAGATAGAAGTAGACGTTCTAATGGCGGAGCGCCCGCTGGAGATTCGTGGGTAGGAGTGCTTCATCAGCTCTTACGTACTTCGCAAGAAGAAATTAGAGCTGAAATGAGAACAATGCGGGAAAATATGAACGCATTAAGTGCAGTGGTAATTGCATCTCAAACTGCACCCAATGGCCCTAGGGACTTTGCTTCTATCGGACGCAATCCGACACAAGCCACTTTGAATAGTCGACCGAATTTTACCACCAGCATTGTTAAGCCACAGGATTGGAAGGTATCCTATGACGGCACTGGTAGTGTTTCGGACTTTCTTTTCAAACTAAATACGTTGTGTGAGCGCACGCAATGTACAGATGAGCAGTTGATGGCAAGCTTCCACCTATTTTTGTCAGGGCGAGCTGAGGAATGGTATTGGTTGTTCACTAAGCAGAATCCAGATGCGACTTATCCCTTCTTGTGCTACTCTATCAAGCGGGAATTCGGCACCTTAAAAAGTGACCATGAGATCATGATGGAGATCTCAATGCGTCGTCAGAAGGCTAATGAATCGTATGATACGTTTCATACAGATATATTAGCCTTGAACGCTAGACTAAAGGAGCCGATGTCGGAGAACCTGTTGATGGACATATTGAAGAGGAACGTTAACAGCAGCCTGAAGTTGATGCTTTTCAATGCTGGTGCGCAGACCCTACATGACCTACGTGACGTCGCTAGGAAAGGCGAACAGATCCTGAAGGAAACCAGGAGCTTGGTACCGAACTATTCAGGACGGCATGTCAACGAAACCATGGCTATTACACCGGATGAATGGACAGGAGGAATGGATGGAGAAGTGGATCCACAAGTGGAAGCGCTGAATTTCCAGAGGATTAGGAAACCGGACTACTCAGGAATACAGTGCTGGAACTCTGCAGGTTCGAATTCTAAGACCTTCACGTAGGGATGTCGCATGCCAGACTCAATTCCCAGTTAGTTTAGAGCAAAGAGAGCAGGATTATGAACGGATATTTTCGAAGAAGAACCAAAACTTGTAATTTCAGAAAATATTCTTCAGTGTAGGAAAAGATATTCTAGCCGAGTAAATATGCGAAAACTTTTGCCAAGCACTAAAATTTTTATAACGCCAGACGAACGACCGCTAGCAAAGATTAAAATACACGATAGTTTTGTAGTGAGTTTATTAGATTCCGGAGCAAACGTTTCCATTCTTGGAAACGGATGCGAAGATTCCTAAAGAGAAACAAATTAAAATATCATTCTTTGCGTGCGTTTGTTTACACGGCTGGTGGAAATCAGCAGAAAATACTTGGCTCGATATCTTTACCGGTCACTTTTAAAAATATTACGAGGACTATTCGCTTTTATCTTGTACCGTCATTAATCCAAGAAGCATACCTGGGTGTTGACTTCTGGAAGGCATTTGCTTTAGCACCCGATATATTCCCAAACGTTTCCTGTTTAGATTTTCTAAATGAAGATGAGCCAAACTTCCATCAGCTCACACCAGATCAGAAGGTAGCATTGCAAGAAGTTGTTCAGGAGTTCCCCTCGTTCGAAAAGCTAGGACTAGGTCAAACCAGTTTAGTGACGCACCATATAGACACAGGTGATGCGGTGCCAATTAAAAGTAAGCACTTTCCTCTTTCACCACCCAGGCAGGCAGAAGCCTATAACGAAATTGAAAGGCTACTCAAGATGGGAGTGATTGAGGAATCGAATTCACCGTGGTGTAGTCCAGTGGTACTAGTTCGGAAACCAGGCAAGGTCAGGATGTGCATTGACTCCAGGAAGGTGAACGCGGTCTCAAAGAAGGACTCGTATCCGTTGCCCCATATTAATGGGTTGTTGAGCAGGTTAAAGGACACATACTTTATAAGTGGTATTGATTTGAAGGATGCTTTCTTTCAAATCAAATTAACGGAATCGTCGAAGGAAAAGACGGCATTTGCGGTTCCAGGAAAGCCATTGTACCACTTTACAGTAATGCCCTTTGGCCTGTGCAACGGTCCACAAACAATGAGTCGGCTGATGGATAAGGCTATTCCTTCACGGTTACGAGAGAACGTCTTCGTCTACCTGGATGGTCGGATGGTGTGCAGCTCCAACTTCGAAGATCATTTGGAATTGCTGAAGGAAGTGGCGAAATGCTTGCGGGATGCGGGACTCACTATCAACGTAAAGAAGAGGAAGTTCTGCCAGAAGGAAATTCGGTATCTCGGGTACTTGATAGGGAATGGTTGTTTGAAAGTAGACCCGGGCAAAATACAAGCCATAAAGGATTTTCCGATTCCCAAGTCTCCTCGTCAGGTTCGAAGGTTTATAGGAATGGCAAATTGGTACAGATCGTTTATTACCAATTTCGCAGATTTGGCGGGCCCAATGACTGATTGCCTTCGAAAGTCACCTGGTCCATTTAAATTAACTCCTGAGGAAGTTGAAGCATTTGGTAAACTTAAAGTTGCACTTTGTTCAGCGCCTATCCTGGCACAACCCGATTTTAGTAAAGAATTCGTAATTCAATGTGATGCATCCAAAATAGGGGTAGGAGGCGTGTTATTCCAGCTCGATGAGGAAGGGGCAGAGCATCCCATAGCTTTCGTATCGAAGAAGCTTAATAATGCTCAGCTGGAGCTGGAATGCCTCGCCGCAATAGTTAGCGTCAAGCGTTTTATTACATTTACATTGAGCCCAAATGCGTCATTTGGGCGAGAAACCTCAAATGCGAGGCCAAATCACGCATTTCTCCATACAGATCCACATTTCCAGAATGACGCATTTCGACGCATTTACACAAAATCGCGAAACAAATGCGTTCCAATTGCCGTACTATTTTATTGAACGCACTC